GCGTAATTGCGACAATTCACGATGCACAAAGAGAATCTGCAAGGCGACGAAGTTTTCATTTCTGATTGAAGAAACGTTCTTGAGATTGAACGAAAATAAATGAAAAATTTCAAAAAGAAAATTGATAAACCTTAGTTATCTTGAATAAAATAGTATTTGCAATATGATTATTTAATCAATCGTGTCAATTTTTATACTTATTTCGAAATTGTAATTGTTTTATTCAATTGGTTGATTTATAAAATAATTAATAATATATTATATTATTATTAAAAATAAGTAGTCTTTTCTTTTTTTACGTTAATAATTGATTATTAATTATTTTTCTATATTATTTCTTCATCACATAATGCTATTCATCATTTTTTTATAATGCTGTTCATTATTCTTTTTTCTAGAAAAATTTATTAAAAAATGAAAGACATATTAATCAAAATATAAAATAAAATCAGATAACTTTTCGATAATAAATTATTATTAATTTTACTTATTCGTTTTCAATTTTTCATTATATGAAAACTTAATAATCTTAATACTGTTTTTTTTAAACATTAATGCAATAAAATCTTTATTTTATTAATCATTTTAATTAGCCATCTTTATTTAATCATTATTCTTATTATCTGATATTTAATTATCTATGGACGAAAATGGATATACATTAATTCGCAGAATATTTTTATATTTTTTATATTTTGAAAAAGAAGTTATTACAATGATTTATATTACAAATGAAAATTAAATTTTTCATTCTTAAGAAATACTAATTTAATTACTTCGTTATTTTATCTTTCTTTTTTAATTTTTAGAAGGATGGCACATAATTTATTAAAAATGAATAACTATAATATTTATACTTTATTGATTATTTTATTTAAAATTGGGAATATAAAGTTAAAAATTTAAAAGCCTAGAAGTAATTTATATAAACATGACATATGTCTCTGCTTCATTGAACATTTCAATTTAATACAATTTGGAATTGAATAGCTCCTAATTTTTTTAAATATTTGACTATGTGTTGCTAAATATTAAAGAAGTAAATAATCAATGCTATATATGTTAAAAATCACCAAAAAAAAATTTAATCAAATTGAGGATCATATAAACTTCGAAAAGAAAACATAAAATTAAGAGACAAAAAAATAGAAAAGTCTCTATATGTCTTTAAATCGCTATCAAAATTGCAAATGATCATGCTCTTATATTATTTCGGTATCACGGATCTTCGAAGTGATTCAATTCCACTCTAGTAAGCAGAAAAGTCGCTTAAGAAAGTATGCCAAGTAGAAAGAGATTAATCATATATATTATAGAATAAAACAAATACATATTCGAAAATTTTGATATTTTAATCGAGCGAGAGAAAGAGACAAAGAAGATGTTAGTTGCTTCTCTTTGAATTTGAACCAACTTTTTAAGAATATAATATTGAAATTATACATATATATCGAATGATATCGAAAATCGATCATGTAACATTTTAACATTTAACATTTAAATTTTAATATAATGTTAATATGATTTTAATATATGAATCTTTTTATATATTACTTTTTTTTTAATTATAGTTAAGTATAGTTAATTATAATTTTTTTATAAAATATATATTTAAGAAATTGGAATCAATCTTCCGATATAATTTACATAATTTATAACATAATTTAACTTACAAGTTCATTTTATAAAAAGAACTTTTTAATTATATGAATTATATTATTCGTGATAATATTACATTATTACGTAATAACAATATAATATTATTCAGTTTTGATTATTATTCAAATCATTATTATTATAAAAATTACAATAATACTAAAAAATCAAAATAATAAGAAAAATATTATTATAATAATATCACAATGATGAATATATATATAATAATATCTAAGTACTCATATACATATATACAAAAATAAAATGATATGATATCTAATTTAGAATTTAACTTTGAATATTTGTATAAATATTGTATAATATTTGTGTAATACAATATAACGTTTAATTGTGTAAACATTACATTTTTATATCGTATTTATATAATTTATAGAATATTATATCGCATAATATTTTTATAAAAATTAAATTTGCAATAGACTATAAAATTGTAATTATGCATCAATACCAGTTGTATCAATATTCATTAAAAAAATGAATTTATAATTCATATAAAAAAATTCATTTTCATTATTTAATATTATTCTTATATTAATTATATATTGAAATTTTAATGAAGCAATCTATTTTAAATTTATAATACTTCGAATATAATTAAAAAATTTTAATTATCATAATTTTATTTACTTAAAACGTAGAATAGAAATGCAAAGAAAATTATCAATAACAATAAAACTCCAAGTATTCGCTCATCGATCAATAATATTATTTTAATTAAATAAAATTGTTTTTCCAAATTTGAATCAAGATATAATAAAACTGCAATTCTAATAAAAAAATTATTCCAAACAATCAACGATTTTATACAAATTTTTGTAAAATACTTTTTTCAAATATTTTTATTCAAATTTTTTCTTTTGTTAGAAAAACTTTCCAGATTTCTTACCTAAACCGCGAGATGGACGATCGCAAGACCTCGAAACAATAAGTGAACGGAATGTCTTAACATATAGCACGTCACTACCATCGACAATATGGCTAAACGAACCATGAAATACTATTGCAAGGGAAATCATTTATCTTTGCATGCTTGAAATTTATTCGAATACAAATTATTACAGAAAAAAGAAAAATCAACAATATAAAAAATCATTTTGATGATATATGTACGAAATGAACGATGTTTTTATTCTTTATTTTATCTGATTTGATAAATTATACGTGTTTTATGAAACGAAAATGAATGAATTTTTTAAGAGAAGTTTCGCAAAAAAAAAAAAATTATAATTATTATAAGTAAATTAATCAATAATTATAATTTTGGATAAATATTGAATAAATAAATTATTTTTAAAATAATATGCAAATATAATGTAAATTTTAAATAATTTTATATTTTAAAAAATTAAAAGATATTGTTTTCAAACTTCCAACTTTTTTAAGAGGAAAATATATATATATTTTAAAAAATAGAAAATTTCAATTTTAAAAATTTTTATAATTAAAAAAGTTTTAGAAATTATTATAATTGAAAAAGTTTAAAAAATTAAAAGTTATCATAATTAATAAATAATAAAAGGTTTATGTATAATATATAAATATATATAATAAGCTTTGAGAGTATTATTTTTATTATGTTAAAATTTTTAGAATTTGGATGTGATTTAATAACAATGAAGAAAAAGTTTTATATTAGCAAATATAAATTTGAATAATTTTGTATTGTAATTAGTTGTAATTAGAAATATTGTGTGTATTTATTCATTATAATTAATAACATATTATATTATTAAAATATTATAAGAACATAAGAGAAGAATGGAAACCAACTTTTTTCCCTAGGATTATCTGTAATCAATTATTTCTTTTTTTTCTTTCCTTTTCCCATCAAGAAACAAATAACACTGCAAGCTGATTCGTTGAAATTTGAAATTTACTTTTACGCAGTGAAAATATATTATCAGTAAAAAAAAAAAATATAAACTTTATCAGCATTTTTTTTGCAAGGACAAGATCAATGATAATGGAATATTTGCTTAAAAACTGTATTCTGAACTTCAATAAATTTTGATATTGATACAATGCAAATTTTGGATGAAAAGAAATTTATTTTAAGAGAAATATATTTCTTTTATTTTTTAATGAATTAAATTCTACTAAATTTTTCATTAAATAAAAATTCTATTTCACCAATATCTTGTCAAAATTTAAATATATCTTATAAAGTTTATAATTAAAAAAAAAAAGATATTTGATATTTAACGTACTTAATATTATTAATAATTATCATTTAAAGATATACAAAATCACAAAATCCTATTAAAACGCGTATCTACAAATCATAGTAATAAATTATGTTATATATATCATTGTTATATATATAAATATATATAATAAATTATGAAAATTCATCAAATTGTAGATAATTAATTTCTAATGAAATACAAATAAATTATCGATATTATTCTACAAATGAAATTAAGCAAAACATACAACATTTTTTCAATTAAAAATTAATTTTTATAAAAATCAAATTTGAAAATTTGGAAATTTGGAATTTGGATTAAATACATGAGCAATTGATTATTTCTGGATTACATATTTTCAATTTTGATTTTGTAAAAAAAAAATTATTTCCTTCCTTTTCTTGCTTATTTTCTCACTAGAATAACTTTATATGGACAATTTGTAATCGAGAATTAAATTCACTTGTATTTAAAAAATATTTAAACTTAATTTATTCAAAAGTCTTAAATAAAAATAAATTTTTTTTTCAATTCTTATCAACTGTGATAAATCAATAAATATATATACATATTAATACAAATTACTGTCACTCTTTGACTCTTTAAGAAGCATATCTTCAATTTTCCTTTACAAAAATTTTTCCTATTTTCATCTTTCAACAATAATGCATAATTCAATTTAGATGTATCCAACCAAAAATTCCTTATATCTCCAAATAAATCAATTTTTTTCAAAAATTTATGATCATTAACTATTTTTAATTATGAAAAATTATCATTGTATTTATCTCTATTTTTTAACAATAATCCATAATTCATTTCAAACAATATACAATAAAAAAATTTCTAGTTTATCTGCAATAAATAAATTAATTTCTTTCTAAATTCTCTAAATTTTTCACGAATTTGACAATAAATCTATATTCCTCTTTTATAAAAATCTTCCCTGTTCTCACTTTTCAATGATAATCCATAATTCACATTTCGAACGCATCCAACGCATTCCAACAAAAAATTCTTTTCCATCCAACTTCAAAAGAATCAAGTTTTTTTTGAAATCATTCATCCATTGTTTATCGAACTAGTTATCAAAAACTATCATTCTTCAATATTAATACGAGCTGAATAATAACTTACTGGTACCGATTATCGTATTCGCCCCAATAGTAGATCCTTTGGGCACGTATCACCGTGAAAAATTTGTCTTTCTAAGATGACTTTAGGCTGAAGATGTGATCCGACCTGATGGCGAGTTCACTACGAAATACAGAGATGCAAGAGCGTGTGTACTACTTATCAACTCTACGACGACCCATAAAACTGCGTCGACGAAATCCCCCACACGATTCCTCAGCTATTGGAGTGGTCTGGATTGAAATGAAATGTGAAAAACATTAAGAAGAATAACGATATTAGAAATAATGTTACTTAATTATATGATTAAAATAAGCTTTGAAAGTATTATTTTTACTAATTTTTACGATTATAAAGATATGTCTTCTCTTCCATTTTTTATTTAAACAAAGGTAAAACTTTTCATTCTATCCATTTGTTGTAGAGATAAGTCATTCGAAATGTGGAAACTTCAAAATTTTTAAATTTTTAAATTTCAAATTTTCGGATTTTCGAAAGTTTTTATTTTTATACAGTAAAAAAAAGATAATGAAAATATAATAAAAAAATATTACTGTATTATACAATTAATTATTTAATTATTTAATTGTTGATCATTATTTAATTATTATAAATTTAATCTTTCGTGTATATAATTTGAATGGCATTTAGAGATCGGAAACGATATTATTTTTTCACGATAAATATATTTCTAAAATTTCTGTTCGAATTTAATTCTATTACAAATAATATTATATCACAATTATTATTTTCTAAAATGGTTAAAAAGTAACGAATAAAATTAAATTAATAATCGTATAAATGTACTTTTTGGTTATTCAATGTATAATAAATAAACATACAAAACAGTAAAAGAAAAAATATATAGAAAAATATAAAAGAAGATAAATTACTAGTCGTGACATTTTATAAATATAATATCTTTTTTATAAGATGAGAGTAAGAGAGATATCATTTTGCGAATCTATTATTTTTAAAAATTTTTATTTTAATTTTTATTAATTTATTAGATAAATTAATTGTTTTTGTATTTTATAATATACAGTTGTAACTTACGATTACATAATTTTGTATATAATCGTAAAAAGAAAATAAATCGTTAAAATAAATTAATAAAAAATTATCTTCTTTATAAATTCTTAACAAATGTAGAATAGAAATTAAAATATTTATAATTAGTATAAATATACTTATTTATTTATCATTGTATGCAACTTTTTGTATAATAAATGATAAATTAAGTAATAGTAAAATTTAAATAAAAAATATTCAGACACTTAATTCAAGCAACAAATTTAAATAGAGAATATATAAGAATATATAAGAAGAACATATAAATAACAATTTCTTACTAAAAATTAAAATAAGTAGGTTTAATATTTAGTATTAATTTATTATAAATATATATTTATTATAATATTTAGTATTATAAATTAATTATATAATTAGTATATTGAAAATAATTTTCTTTTAAGAAACTTCATTTTTTTTTCTTCTTTAATAAATTTATAATTTTTTTTTTATAGTCAATTTATTATATAAAATTGATCAAAACTTATTACTTTGATATTTTAAATTTGCAATATATTTGCAATATATTCTCATAAATTAATAATTTATATTTTTCTTATAATGTTCAAATAATAAATCAAAACAGCTTTAATTAAAACATATATAAAATATCGTAAACATGTATAAAATTTAATATTGCAGTACAATATACTATAAATATTAAAAATGAAAATTTTGTTGATTTATTATATATTAAAAATAATCTGTTAATTAATTTATTATTATTATTATAAAACGAGTATTATAAAATAAACCGAAAAAAAAGTTTTTTTTTTTTTCTTTAAATTGCAATTTATTTCAATACATTAGAAATATAATGATTAAATGAGATTTATGCAGTTGCATGATCAGTTTTATATAATAATGATTATGAATAAAATTATATGATTATAAAAAAATACATAATAAATGAGATCATAAATATTTATTTTTATGTATTTATTATATTGTACTTATTATGTATTTTTATATGTACTTTATTATGTATTTTTTATTCATTTGATAATCATTATTACATAAAACTGATCATGCAACTGAAGAAATCTCATTTGATCATTTATATTTCTAATGTATCGGAATTATTCATTTAATAAACAAAGAACAAAGATAAAATAAAATCCATTAGAAAAAAAATAACATGTTAAACTACCTCGAATATGTATAAAACAATTCAGTTTTTTTTTTTTTATAGAATTATTATTCATAATTCAAAAGCAAAAAATATTTAACATAAAGGTTAAAGAGTTAAGGATAATTAATTTTTTCGTAAATAAATGCAAAAGTTTAATTTTATTTTTTAAATGAAATTATATATTTTTTAAATTATATCGATGCAACTCGATATTCTTTGTATCTGCAAATGTCTAAAAAATATTAATTTAAAAGATAATTTATTTTGAATTTTGTAAATCTTATTGCATGAAAATTAATAAAAACATCAACAGTTAAAACAGTAGTTATTAACACATCATAATATTCTAATATTAATTCAAATTAATATACATATATATATATCAGAATTAATACCTGATTAATTTTTGTGGATTGAACTTATTTATTTGATTTTGAATTTCTATTAAGTTCAATGAATTTCAATTTTATATTCGCTCTATATATAATATGTAAAATAAAATTTTATTTATTTATATTTATTCGTATTAGCAATTAATTTTTTTGTATTTGCAAGTATGTCTGTTACATATAGACAATATCAAATATATAATTCCAAATATCTCTTAGTGCATTTCACGTATTAGCTATGTTAATTTTTGTATACAGCATAATGAATAAAATATTATATTATGCAAATATTTCTTAATTGAAATCTTTTGTTTCCGAAGGAAAAAAGAAGAAATGAAACTTTACTTATTACAACCATTCGTTGGTATAAATCTCCATATCTCTTGCCTCATTGCGGTCTTTAAATAAACAAATGTCGAGATATCCAGATGGAGAAGGTACAAAAAGGCGTCAAGTATGACATTCATATCGTATCGCGGAACGCATAAAGAAAATCCTTTGGAGACACGTTCAAGGCAAAGAGTTCATTGAAAAAGAAAAAAGAAAAATCACCTTGTTAACGTGTCAATTTGCATGCTCCATTCCAGAATGGTTATATGAATGCAACACTATTTGACGGTATTAAATCAATTCGACGACGATAAATAAAGCAATCGTACAAAGAGCTTTTACTTCGTTAGGCTAGATTTCTTATTTAAATTTATTCCTCAACGAAGAATGATTTGTGAGAGAACGAAAAAAAGAGAGAGAGAGAAAAAGAGAGAAAATTTTCATTGACAAATTTCTTTTTGATCATTTTTGACATTCTTAATACGAAATGTTTATGCAAATTTATATTTTAACGAATATTTATTAAAATATAAATAAAGGGATTTTGAAATGATTCTATAAGATATATCAATATCAATATTTATGAAAACTTTTGAGATATTAGTACTTGAAGATATGTTAAAAAGTTCGTTTCAAATAGTTTCTGATATAGAAAAATCTGTTATTTTAAATTCTTTTTGTAATAAAAAGAGTTCCTACTTAGAAAATACAATTATTTATAAATTATTTAAATAATAAATATATTTAATTCATATTTTTGTAAAAATATAAAATTGTAAAGATTATCTTATAACAAATTTCTATAAACTGACTCTATATTTAATTAAAAATTAATCTTCCAGAACACTATGTAACTTTAAAATTACATATCTATATATTTGTTAAAATATATTTTTATATCATTCCTTTGAATCAAGAACTCCTTTGAATTGTTTAGTCTAATAATATCAATAATTTTTTATCTCTTATATCAAAATCTATTTTGAACAAATTTTCAAGACACAAAAATATTATTATTTTTTCCTAGACATAAAAATAAATTGAATTATAAGAAAATAAATATAAATTAAGAATATTTAAAAATTTATGTCATCGATGTTACATATTGATAACATTTCAGGAAAAAAAATAATGTTATAATAACATATATATAATGAAAAAAATACTAAATAATAGCAATAAAGAATGTTAAATATATCAAATTATTATTATAAAATTATAAATAAAACCAATAACAAACATTGAAATTTTACTAGAATATTTTATATTCTATTCATATTCGCCACATTTCTTTGAAAAAATAAAATTGCTTTCGATTTTTTCATAAATCTCTTTACAAAATCATAGAAATAAAATTAATAAATAAATAAGATTAAAACCACGAATTCATTTATGTTTTACTTCATCTTTTTATATCTAAATCTTTCTCGAAGGAAGGATATTACAAAATAGATATTACAATATCATTTTTATTAATAGAAAATACAAATTATTCAACGAAAATCTAAAAATACTTGCCTTCAAATTTTTTCATAAATTTCTCTATAAATCCATTAAAAAAATAAATCATTCAAATATTAAAACAATGAAATAGCTAATATAAGCTTTAAAAAAAAAAAACAATGAAAACATCATTTAGCATTATTTCCTAAATAACTGTAAACACATAAAAAGCAAACATTTTCCCTATCTAGAGTTTGAAATTCTCTAAATAAGAACATGTAATGATTATACCGTAAGTTTCTTAAAAACAAATGTTAGTTTCATCTCCTTTTCTTTCCGCTAACCCAATTTGAAATGTCGTTTCTTCGCTGACCTGATTCCCTCTGTTCCAAGAACTTCCAGAGATGTAAATTTTTACATGCAAAACATGCGTGCCATAGTGGAAGAACACTAAATATCGAGAACGAGCTATCGTGAATTTTTATTTTTTTTTTTCAGAATAGAAATGTAAATCATTCTTTATAACAACATTATATGGAATTTATTTTTAAATTTTTACGCGGCATAATGTTAATTATCAGTTTGAATTATTAGAAGGAATTATTAATAATAGATCATAATTTATGTTCTTTAATAGAATAATGTATTGTGTTAAAAATGAAAAATTTGAATAAGAAAAAAATTTGAGAAATCGTAATTTGAAATTCTGGTAAAAGAAGAATTTTAGATGAAAAAAATAATAGAATTGTTTAGTTTCTTTTGAAGACTATCATGT